GCTTGAAATATCGTTCTCTATCACTTTACCTTTAATCTAACAGCTTCCTGGCAGGTTAGATGTGTTTCCTGAAGGCAGCAGATACTTGGCTTGTGTTTTTTTATCCATTCGGCCAGCCTAGGTCTCTTATGGGGAGTTCAAGCCATTCACATTTATTGAGATAACATAGTTGTGGCAGATTTCTGTTCATTATGTTGGGTTGAACTTTGTTGCTTTGTTTTCTCTCTTGAGCCATTGTGGTATCTGGACTTTGATATTTAGCTTTTGAGTGTGTTTACATGTGTGAGTGTTTATTGTGCTGATCCATGGGTAACACTGTTTTGAGTACTTCTTGAAGGGCTGGTCTTGTCTTGGTGCATTCCCTCAGTCTTTGCCTATCTGCGAATGTCATGATTTCTCCTTCATATACAAAACTGAGTTTTGCAGGGAACAAGATTTCTAGGCTGGGCATTATTCTGTTTCAGAAGAGTGAGAATGGGGCCCCAGTCTCTTCTTGCTTGTAAGGTTTCAGTAGAGAAGTCTGGCGTTATTCGGATTGGTGTTCCTTCATATGTTACTTGCTTCTTTCGTGTTACAGCTCTTAGAAGGGCCTCTTTAGTTGACATTTTGGTCAGTCTTTGACTGCATGTTGTGATGTCTTACTGTTTGCACTGAATCTCCCACGGGTCCTTTGAGCTTCTTGAACTTGTATCTGGAGATTTTTAGCAAGGCCTGGGAAATTTTCCTATATTATATCTTCAAATAGTTTATCCAACCCTTGAGTGTTTTCTTCTTCCCCTTCTGGTAACCCTATAATCCTCACATTCGGTTTCTTCACATATTCCCACATCTCTTATAGCCTTTCTCTTTTCTCTTGTTTCTCCGCTCTATCTCTGTGACTGACTTATTTAATTGGAAGGTGTTATCTTCAATCTCTGAGATTCTTTCTTCTGTTTGATCTACCCCGTTCTTCAGGCTTTACCTGTGTTTTGTAGTTCCCTGAATTGATTCTTCATTTATACGAGTTCAGTTTGATTTTTCTTTATTATTTCCATTTGTTTAGTTAATTTTTGTCTATGTCCTGGGATCTTTTTGCGTTTTCTTTGTGTTGGTTATCCAGTTGTTCTTGCGTGTCATTGAATTTTCTTACAATCATGTTCTAAATTCCTCTTCTGTCATTTTAGTTGTCTGATTGTGGTTGATGTCCATTTCTAAGGGGGTTGGTGTTCCTCTCTTGGGGTGTACTTTCTAATTGAGTCGTCATATTTCCAGAGGTCCTTCGCTGATTTCTTCCCATCTGGATTAGTTGTTGCTTCTTGCCTTTAGGTTTTCGTTTCGATAATGACATGCCCTGTTTAGTCTCTGAGTCAGTACATAGTGTTTCTGGGTCAGATTCAACCACACCCTGTATGATGAGTCTGTAGATGCCATAAAAGGGTGAGCAGAATGACCTCCCTGTCAGTAGGTGGCGCTTGCTGGGAGGAGCAGGCTTTGGTGTTGTTTTGGGGTCCTGTATTTAGCTCTTGTTACTCTGGAGAGGCACTCTAGTGCCTCAGGTAGTGGGTGGGGCCCTGGGACTTCCAGGTTTGTCTTTATTCTCCACCTTAGTGAGGGTTGGTCTGGGAGTGAGTCTGGGCAGAGCTGGGTTGGGTAAGCCTGCCCTCAAGTGCCATAAATGCTGTTAGCAAGGGTCAAAGTTCTGTTCTCTGCTTCTGGGAAAAGCTGTCAGGGAGAAAGCCAGAAAGTCTGCATGTGGGGGTGAGGCTGCCTGTGACCTGCAGTCTGGAGCGGGCCTCGCTCCTTTCCACCTTCGTCAACTCTGAGGCTTCTCCTGGGCCTCTGCCAGCAGGCCAGACCTCACACCACCGGGTCTCCCCGTGCTGTGATTCGGGCCCGGAGTTTCCCTGAGCAGGATCACCACCTGGGCTGGGCACACAGCCCCCCTTGGGAGGAGGGTTGCCTTCAAGGTCGCTGATCTGCCCTGAAGGCACATACACCTCAGTAGGCTCGTTCTCGAATATCCCTTCTATGCCCTGGGCAATGCAAGACCTCGGTGCATGGCATCTGGTCTGCAGGTCTGACCTCTGGGCCTCAGAAGTCAATCCCTGACCCTACCAGGGAGAGGAGAGCCAGTCCTAATTCACCCATGAGCAGCCCAAGCTGGGTCGATGTCTCTCAGCCTCAGGATCTGCCCCTTTCTCCTGGAGTCACCAGGCCAGAGCACCAGGGAGGGCTGGTAGGTAGGGAGCTCATCATCTGAGTACCCCTCAGTCAGCTGTAGGGCCCCAAAAGGGAAGGTCCTGTTCTCTGGAGATGCCTCCAGCTGGTGGCTATATTGTCTCTCTTGGTGGCCACGGATAGGGAAGGGGAATATAGCAATATGGCACCTGCTTAGCGGCTCGGGTCTGTGCACACAGAGGTGACCCGACGGAGTTAGGAGCCTGGTGCCACGTCTGCTACAGGCTTATCACTCACAGGCGGCAGCTGTCTCTGGGTCGGTGTCCACAGGTCTCTCCAGATGCTGGGGAGACCACCAGTAGTCCGAGATGCAAGGGAGGGGAAAGTTAACTCCTCCACCTACCCTTATTACTGGTCTCCAAGCTACTTGGGAGCTCACTTCTTCCAGTTCTCCTCTGCAACCTCCTCCCATAGAGTCTCCCATAGTCTCAGGTACCCCAGGCCCTTTGACCCTCGTCCCATGTATGCTCGTCTGCCTACTTATCTCTTCTACTTTCTTCTAAAATCTGTCTTTTTTGCAGAGACACTCTGGCTGGTGGTTTTCTTCACCTGCCATCTTGCTCCCTTTGTCTCTAATTCATTTCTCTTGTCAAACTACCTGGCTGTCACCTACAGGAAAATGTTGCAAAGTAGTGGAGAAAGTAGGCATGTTTGCCTTGCTCCAGATCTTAGTAGAAAATGCCTGTGTTGGTTCTCTATTAAATAAAATACTAGTTTTATAACAAAGCTACATGTATTTCCTTTTTTCACACTCTGTCACCTGGGCTAGAGTGTAGTGGTGTCATCATAGCTCACTGCAACCTCAAGCTCCTAGGCTCAAGCTCACCTCCTGCCTCAGCCTTCCAAGTAGCTTGGGACTACAGGCACTTGCTACCATGTCCAGCTAATTTTTTTCTATTTTTAGTGGAGACGGGATCTAACTCTTGCTCAGGCTGGTCTCCAACTCCTGGCCACAAGTGATCCTCTCTCCTCAACTTCCCAAAGTGCGAGGATTACAGGTCTAAGCCACCATGCCCAGTCTCTCATTTCTTCTTAATCAAGTTACTTAATATTTTTTCTATTTCATTTCTAAAAGCAAATATTTTTATTAATTAGATTTATTGTTTTCCTAGTCTTCTCTTCATTAATTTCTTTTATTTCCTTCCCAATTCTTCTTGTTTACTTTGTTCTTTTTGTTTTCTAAACTGGAAAATTAACTCACTTATCTTAACTCTTTCACTTTTATTAATAGGTGTTTTTTGCGCAGACTTCCTCTAATCAATGATTGAAATACATCCCTTATACTGAGATATGTAGTGTTTTCAATATCATTATTTTTTTTAACTCTGTAATTTCAGCATGTATTTCTCCTTTTGCCTAGAAATTATTTAGAAGTTTTAAAATTTCCAAGTGAAGGACTTTTCTGACTTTTGTTAGTAAATCCTAGGTTTACTATATTGTATTACTAACTAGAATGTTATTTGTAATATTTCCATTTTACGAATGTCACTGATGTTTCCTTTGTGACCTAATACATAATCAACTTTTATGAATATGCCATATAGTCTGCATAACCAGGGAGCAAATTTTATGTACATATACCTCCATAAGATAAAAATTTTAAAGTGTCCTTTGTCACATTTAATGCTTTGGGGTTTGAGTTCTATTTTTCTGATGTCAGAATTGCTACTCCTGTTCAATTTTTGTTTCCATCTCCATGATATGCTTTTGTCCCATAGTTTATTTTTAGCTTCCCTGAATCACTTTAAAATATGTCTCTTATCTCCTCAAGGTTTTTGTTTTTATAAGCCAAACTGAAACTTGTAATAGGTTACATAAGACTAACATACTTGGTCTCAAATTTTCTATTTATGCGTATTGTTATATTACCTTATTATAAGATGTGTATTTATGTTTCAGAAATTGGAGAGCAGGGATTGGTATTTCTTCTACTTTTGTTCTAGTTTTTACCTCTGCACTTAAATTTTCACAATACGCTTAGTTATCCACTTTCTTATTTAACCTTTTACTATTGTTGAAAACTTTTTTTTTCTATAGCCCTACTATTTGAAGGATATCTCAGTTGAATATAAAATCCATAGTTCACAGTTTCCTTGAGTTTTAAAAAAGATACACCTCCATTGTTGCCTTGCTTTTTATGTCAGTTTTGCAACGTCTGATGTTTTTTGTAAGTTTGCCTTTGTAAGTTATGTGTTCTTTTTGACTGGAAGACTTTATCTGGAAGTCTTTAACTGGAAAATTTTATCTCTTAAATCTAATAGTTTTACTAAGACATATCAAAGAGTTGATATTTATGGGTTAATTTTTCCAGGTACCTAGTAAGTCCTTTCAGTTTGTATATTTGAGTTTTTTTCCATTTCTGGAAATTTTTCTTAGATTGTATTTTTAATTATTAATTCTGTTCCATTGCTTTTTCTTCCTCAGGAACTCTGATAATATGAACATTATGTCTTCCATTATGAACATTTGCCTGTCTTCCATTCCCAATACTTTCTCTAATTCATTTTACCTTTCTATGTCATTTTCAGTTCTTGGTTGTTTTCATACCTTTCTTCATTTCCCTTTATTAAATTTTTATTTGAACCTATTCTCCCTTGAGTATCTCATACTTTGTTGACTTATAATTTGTCTTTTTCTTCCATTTCTTTCCTGCATTTCATTTTTTTCATTTCTCCCTTTTTCATCATTTCCACTCTTAGTTTTTAAATTTCTAATCCAAAGTGTTTTAAAACCCTCAAATGCTTGTTTGAGTACACTGAGGTCTGTATGGAGTATAGACTTACAGGTTTCCTTCTGTTTCCCGTTGTTTTCTGGGGAGAGGGACGTAGTTTCCCAGGGAGATTTGTATAAACAGTTGTTTGCTTACTTGGAGACTTCCTGTTTTAAAAAAAAAACCAAAACAAAAAAAAAACCAGTTGTTTGCTGATTTTCTGCAGTAAGTTCTCTTTGGATTTTATTTCCTTTTGTTCATTTCTGTGACACTTGGGAGGACGGGGGTGGTAGTTTACAAGATTATCCAGTTTAATGTCATCCTCACAAAGCCCATATATTTTAGAGTTGTTTGCATTTTCTTAAATTGGTTGTGGCTGTTTTGGAGTTGTGAGCTCTCCAATTCTGTGGTTATCTTTTTCTTGTGGGACTCTCAACTTTCTCCTTTTCATCCTTTAATTACTGGACCAGTAAACACTGCTTTCTTGGTAACAAAGTGAGGGGGATGGGCAGAATAAGCTACAGAAATTGCTATCGTATTAAAAGTAATGTTGCTGAAGCTTTGGGGATGATATCTAAGTTTCAGTACCACCTATGTAGTAACAATTCTCTCTCCTACTCCTGGGAATTAAAATCTTCAGTTTAAGAAGTCAGAATTTCAAAAGTCCTTGTTATTGATTAAAGAGAGCAGCATGGATCAAAGAATCAATCTGTACCAATTACCTTTTTTCCTGTTACATGCATAAAATGAGTCAAGTTGCACCTTTATTAGACAGGAGAAAGAAAAAGTGCTAGAAATGTATTTATTTTATGTCATAATGAAGGAATCATGTGCTTAGGATTTTTTTAAAAAGTTTTATTTTAAGAAAGGAAGTTTAGACAAAGAGGAGAGCATAGATAGAGTTAGGTTTTTGCCACAAATCTAATATTTTTGCAGGACGATTAAGGTTAATACCTGTCATGTTTTAAATACAACAGCTTTATAATACATTGAAACAATTCCACCTGAAGAATGCTATACTAATTCCTTTTACCTTAGATTATATATATAAATCTTCCCACATATCCTATGTTTGGAAGGACTAGAGGACAGCCAACAAGATCTAGCTGTCCTAGCAGTAGAAAGCAGTCAGGGGAAAAAATGTGTTAAGCAGTCTTAAAATTACTATTCAGCATGGCTTAATAAAATAACAATTATTATATAATTAATTATACATTATATAAAATTAGTAACAATTCATGTTATTTACTATAGCAAAAAAGTCTGCTTTGTTTATGATAATCACCAACCTTCTTTTTTCAGTCTCTCTAAAAATTACTTTCTGAGTCTTGATAGTTTCATATATTCCACTCATTCTACAAATATTTATTGACTCGCTATTAGGTGCCACAGTTCTAGGAACTGGGGATATAGTATTAAGTGTGACATATATAGTTTATGGAACTTGCAAGTGTAGCTAAGACAAGAGAAAATTAAACAGGTATATTACAAATATGATAAGTATTTCAGTAAGGAAGCATGGGATGTTATAGGAGCATATAAGAGGAACTAAATGGAGTCCTTAGTCCAGTAGCTAAGACTTGAAGGATGAGGAGAAGTCAGCAAGGCCCAGGGGATAAGGAAGAATGAGTGTTTTAGGCAAAGGCCTGGAGTGAGAGAGCATATTTCCAGAACTGAAGCACAGTGCAGAATGGCTGGAACACTGGAGAGACAGAGCTGAAAAGATCCCCAAGGTCCCCTCTATAGAGGCCTTTATAAGCCATTTAAGGATTCAGAACTTTAGTCTATGGGCCCTCAAAAGGTTTTAAGCAAGGGAGTAATATAATCACAGGTACATCTTAGAAAAATCCATCAATCAATAATAAAAGATCACCGATGAGAGCAGGAAGTATAGTATGCTTAAGGGCAACACATAGATGGGATTTTGGACTCTCAATGAGCCTTCAAGGACTTTAGAAATGTTAGAATTCAAGGCAGTATAAATACATCTAATTCCTAAGGAATCTGGAAAGGAATCTTAGGGTCTTAAAGAGGTGGTAGGTTTCAAATGGGAGAGGTCATGTGCATCCTGAGCCATTTGAAAGAGAAAGTCGTTGAAAATGCATCTGGAAAGGCAGATTTGGGATATATGTGGAAGACTTCAGATGTCTAGCTAAGGATTTGGAAATATTTTCATACAGGAGAAGTAGAGCGCCATTGACAATTTCTAAATAAAATAGCATACACAGGTAGCATAATGGAAAAATCAGGAGAAAAACTGTACTGAACAAGGACAGAAGCCTTTCACAGTGCCCCAAGTGTTGCTAATGTAAATGTTAGCAGTGAGGATCAGGGGAACAGATTTGGAAGTTATTACAAAAGAAAATCAAGGTATAGTTGAAATAACTAATCCAATATTTGAAGGGGATAATAGGGTAGGATCAAGAATGGCAGAACACAGGTGGGGTAGTGTTAGTGTGAAAATAGTGAATTTAACTATACCGTGCACAATTGTTCTATTGTATTATCCCAGAGCAGTGCTTCTCAAAGTGTAGTAGGCAGACAGGAATTGATCTGTGAGCTATATGTTATCCAATCTGTACAGAAAATGAAAGCTAAGTGTTTAGAAATGTTCATTATAAGTTGATAGTAATTTTATGTCCATTGAATTTAATAATAAAATTTTGAACTCACATTGTCTGTTTTAATTTCTTTTTAATAATTCTTGTATAGTATTTTATAAAAGTATGGATCTCCCAAAGAGTAAAAATTTTAAAAACTGGTCCTTTACCACAGATAGTTCGAGAAACACTACCAGAGTATTTAGTTTGCACTCCAAATTTAAGTAGATTAACTCTACCTTTGTAAATACACATTAAAAAATAAACACAAATTTGCCTATGGACTGGATATTAGAGATTATGTATTTGTTAATTTTCTCTGGTTTACTAATACCATGCTTATTATGTAGGAGAATGATATTTTGTAGATATGTAGGAGCTATCTGCTGATATATATTGGGGTAAGTTATGATGTCTACAACTTGTTGAATGGTATAAGCAAAAGAAAAGACACATAGCAGGTAACCCATGCACATACAGCTAAAGCAAATATGGCCAAATTAACAGTGGTTGAATTTAAGGAGTGGGTATATGGATAATGATACTATATTTTCAACTTTTCAAACATAATGTAGAAAAAAAAATGTTTAAATAAATAGTACATAACAAATGCAAAGTCCTACATACCCCAAAGTCACCAGGTCAATATCTTCCTGATGACTTCTGGACCCTTGTCTTCCTCAAAGCATTTCAGTTTATCAAGACTAAAACAAAAAGGGAAAACAATATTTTAAGGTCAGCCATGAATTTTGTCCAAAAAAAGTCAGGGTTGTGCTCTAAATACATCGCTGTATTAAGAAGTCAAATAAAATCCAGCAAGCAACTCAGAGGAGAGGCCAAAACTCAAGGCAATGATTTCTATGCTCATATTTTATGAAAAGGATATATGGCCCATGAAGGCAACTAGTATCATTAAATAGAGAAAGAGATCATAAAAAGTTATTTGTATATTTTCAATCCAAATAAGGCACTTTTTGGGAAAATTTCAGTAATAGCATACCCAGGAGACCCCCACAAGAAACCACAGTTAATCAAGGTTTTAACTTCCAATGCTTAAACCTCCCGAGCCTCAACCATTTCTCAGATTCCTCCATCAAAGTGCCTGTCAATGGCAAATACCCATCGCTGTTACCTTGATCGCTTTTCTTTATTAACAAGCACGTTTTAAAAATTTTTTTATTTCAAAATATTAAGTAGGTACAGATTATTTTTTGATACATGGCTTGAGTCGGGGTTATAAATGTGCCTATCATCCGAAGAGCGGTCACTGTACCAGTAAGGTGCGTTTGGCCCCTCCCCTCCTCCCCCCTGCTCGATTTCCAATGACCTTTACTTCCCTCTGTGTACTTGTGTGCCCATCGTTAGCAAGCACTTATAAAATTAGAGAACAGGAAAACTATCCTTTGATGAAGCTGTCTTCTTCCTCGCAGAAACTGTGCATGGGGGTCCTGGGACTCCTCCCGGTGTTCCAGGAAGGCCCCGGCGGGTGAAAGCCTTGAAAGGGCGATCCCACTACCCCAGGTCTAACCCCCAGGTCCTCCCGGGGGCGAATCCCAGAGGACAGCAGGAGCTAGGCTGCACCCTGCTCGTCCACAAACTGCAGGAGCCGCTCGGCCCCGCACTCACCAGCACACCGCCCTCAGCCCAGCCGCCGCCTCCAGGCTGCAGCCCAGACCCCTGGCCACCGCCACATCCTCCCGGTCCCAGTCAGCGACCTCTCCACGACCCGGCAGCGCGGAAGCCCGCGGTTCCCATGGCGAGAAGTCCCCGGCCCGCGCAGCCAACCAGGCACAACGCCCCAAAGGCGCCCACGTGGAAAGCGGGCGTGTTTAGTTCCGGCTGCTGGTGCTCTGCAAAGTTGCAGCTGCCAGTGCCGGCGACCCGGTCCTACCTGGTCAGAACCCGGCCGTGACCGCACGTTGAGCGGCCATAGCCGCTTTCAGCCGGTTTCGTTCCACTCCCTCCCTTCCCTGCAACTGCCAGACGATCCAGGCCTCGCGGAGCCTGATGGGACTTGTAGTCGTCTGCGGAGCCCGGCCTGTGAGCAGTGGGGCGGCGCAGGCGGGCCTACACACACTACATTTCCCAGCAGGCCCCGGGCGCGGCACCGAGGGGCTCCGCGGGGCTCCGCGGGGCTCCGTGCGGCTCCGCGCGCAGGGGGCATACTGTTCTCCCTGCCCGGCCCAGCAGAGAGGTGTTGGGGATCTAGCCCGCTGCAGCGGGTTAGGCTGGGTTCCCGAGCCGCTGAGTTCTCGGCCCCTGCAGTTACGTAGCAACGCCCCCGCCGGTAGGGCGGCCTCGCCACGCCCTGACCACACCTCCTTGTTCTCTTGGTCCAGAGGCTCCAGGACTTTCTTTGGCTCCAGGGTTAGTTGGATGCTCTGCTACCCACCTGCCCTAGAGCCTGAGAGACAAGGGGGCCGAGGGCCGACACCAGGGTCACAACCAGCCCTTCAGATCCTGTCCTTTCAGAACCTCCCCAAAAGTCCCAAGTTTGCTTGCATGTATATACACATACTCATTGCTGTGTACTGTATGTGTAGTGTTTCTCTACTCTGTATCACACAGTGTACATCATTAACCCTAACGTGTCTTTTTAAAAATCACAACATCTCCAGGTAGGGATTATCATCCCAGTGTTGCTGTTGAAGGAGTTAACTGCTAGGAAATAGAAACAGGATCGGATCTGATCTCAACTGGCCTAGCTTCAAATGGAGTGCTCACCATCTCTCAGAGACCCCAAAGGACATGACAGGACAAACAGAAACAGCCTGTCTACTTACCTATTAGGATGTAGTCATATGCCATATAATTCACTCATTTAAAGTGTTCATTCAATGGTTTGTGGTATATTCACAGAGTTGGACAACCATCACCACAATGTATTTGAGAACTTGTT